GTACCCTGCTCTTTCCTCCCTGAAATGAGCCTGGTCACCAGGGCTTGGCTGAGCGAGGACAGTGTGTCCAGCCCCAGGCTGGGGACTGGGCCATGGAGGCTGGCGCTGCGCGGAGCCCACCCCAACCCTCCGGCCAGGCCTCCTCTGCGCGCCGTCTGGGTAGGCCTTCCAAGGCCCGGTATGGCTACCTGCGGACAGTCAGGGGACGGCCAGCTCGAGAGAACAAAACCATTTATAACGACGACCCGGTCTCTGCCCAAGCCGAAGGAGCACCCGGGGGTGGTCCCCACGTCTCTCCCGGCCTCTCCAACTGCCGGCCGCCTCTCCGAGCCAGCGGGGGACAAGACGAACAAACGTCCACATGCCCTTCTCCCTCTGGTGCAACAGAACCCTGCTGCTGCCCCTGCTGGGGGGCTCCGGGGCCCTCGGGGGCTCTCACACAGGACCCCAGGCCCGGGCCTATCACCCTGCCGGCGGTTACCCCGGGGGCCGTCAGGGCATGCCCGCCCTGCACTGCAACCCCGTAGCTCTGCAGCAGGGGCTGTGCTGGGTTCTTGCATTGAAGGCTCTCTGTAGTCTCTCCTTGGCCTTGTGAGACAGCTCTTCAGACCCCTAGTCCACAGACCCTGGGGTTCAGAGAGGCCTAGGGTGTTGTACAGGTGCACACAGCCCCTATCTGGCCGAGTCACACGGGAGCAGACCAGGCCACAGCAAGGGCTCCTGCCCCAGGGCCTTGGGAGCTGTCCTTGGTGGGCTTTGCAGCGGGGCGAGGCGCTCAGGAGCAGAACAGGACCTTCACGTCCCCTATATGGCCAGAGGCCAAAATACATGGTGATGGAAGCCACGTCTGAAACCCGTGTAAGAGGAAGAGTGGTGGGGACCAGCGACACTGTCTGCTGGGCTCATTCCAGCCAGACGGCACTCAGACATCCCCTCCACCCTACAAGGGTACAGAGGCTTGGCCTCGCTCACCAAAGGTGGAAATTAAGGTTCAGAGAGGCCAAGCAACTCACTCGGGCTCCCACAGCATCTGAAAGGCTACACTGGACTGTGAGCTCGAGACCTTTTAGAACCAAGTCTGTGGTGTCTGCTTTCTACATCCCCTCTGCTCAAACATCACCTCCGCAGCAGAGCTGCTCCGACCCCACCTGGAGCCCCTGAATTTTACTCCCCCCCCCAATGCAAAGTCTGTTTGCCCCACCAGAGTTCAGCTCTGGGAGGGCAGGCACATCGTGGGCTAAGACATGGCTGGTCCTCAAACAGAATCTGTGGGATGACTGAGTAAATCCATTCATTCATTCATTCATTCATTCAACAAGCATGTCATGAGTACCTATCATATGCCAGGGCCAGGGCACCGAGAAGATGGTAGTGTACAGAGAAGAATCCCTGGCCCCACGAACCCTACCTCCTAGTGGGGAAGACAGGTAACAGAACAGTGAACAGGTACGTAAGTGGTAAACGTCACATAGAGACAAGAATGATAAAGCAGATCGCGGGAACGGACAGAGATGAGGAGGGTGACCACACATCCTGGGGTGGTTGGGCCAATCGTGGGTTAGACCTGTGTCTGTGGATAACCATTAGTGATCCTTTTCACCTTAAAATTATCCCATTTCCATGACAAATTCTATGGCCACCCTTCTGATAGGAAACACTATCAGGCTATCTTTGATTAGGTTGTGGGGCAGAAACTGTTGGTTTCACCAATATCCAGACAGAAGTATTTCCCCATTGCCCTGAAGTTAAGGAGAGCATGTGACTCAGTTATGGTCACTGGAAGGAGGTCCTGTGTCACCTGTCACATCCAGGCCTGGCCCCAGACATCCCGTGAAACGCTCTGCCATGGTGTGAGTTACTGGTCAGCAAATATTCACTCCTCTCCCCGCTGACTTGGGGCTTGGCCATGTGACCTGCTTTGGCTGCTGGGATGTGGGGGTAAGCAATGCTTGCGGCTCTGGACCTGGTCCCCTGAAAGACAAGTTGAGACCCTTTCTGTATTCTTTCTCCTTGCTCTGCAGAAGGCTGAATACAAAGCACCTGGTGGCCTGGGGGAGTGACAGAGACACACAATGGAAGAGCTTGGGACCCCCGAACCACTGTGGAGAGGTGAGTCACCCAGGGGAGCCTCTGAGTAAATGTAGGCATACACACTCTTTGACTTTGCCTGAGCAAGAAATACACTTTTATTGAGTTAGGTCACGGAGAATTTGGAATTGTTTATTACAGCAGCTTGCATTAATTAACCTGACAATTACAAGCAGTCAGTGAAGCCCTCTTGGAGGACAGAACATGTGAACAGAGATCTCAGGGAAGGGAGAGAATTGCACAGCGCAGGCAAAGGCCCCAGGGACCCAGAAGTCCCAGTGACGCATGGCACTGAGTCTCATCCTTCCCCACCTGGCCCTATTGCTCGGGTCATATACCCTGCCCGAACCTTTGTCTTCTCTGGTGTAAACTGGGACAAACACCGCCCCAGCTTTGTCCCCTGAAGGCGCGATGTGGGGAGGCTGATGTGGTAGTAGATGCCAGGGGCCTTTGAGGGCAGGCCGCTCCTGCCTCGGCCGGCAGACTCTCCATTTCGAACGGTCCAGAATGCACTGGCATCGTGACCCCACTTGGTGAAACCATGTCGAGGTGTTGGGGCCTGGATGGGATAACTAGATCACCTGGCAGACACTGCTCTGAATTCAGGGATTTCAGCCCCTGCCCCCAGAAGTGCTAAGAAATCAATTTAGACCCCTCTGGAATCCAGGGAGGAGGGAAGGCCCAAATGTTTGTGGACGGCCTGGTCCCCAACTAGGTACTTATGCATCTGTCCCCCCACCCAGCCCCACAAGCAACTCTTCAAGGAGGCCAGCATTCCAATCCCTGGCCACACTTTCTCTAGTACCTGGAGCTAAAACAGCATCCTGGGACAGGTGTCTCCAGGGCTGGGCACAGGGACTGGTGCACAGCCAAAACCCAGCTTTAAGCCACCTTAAGTATCTTGAGATTCCCCTCATACTCGGGGCCAGCTGTCATATATGCACTACGTCTGATCTTCCCCACCTCCTCCAAGGTAGTCATTATCCCCATTTTCCAGATGAAGAAACTGAGCCTCAGAGAGACCCATGTTCAGGTCGCGTGGCAGCAGGGGGTTCTACCCCAGATCAACCTGGTTCCAGAGCCTACATTCCTGCTACTGAGTAAATGAACACGTGAATTGTTATGGGCACTGCAGTCCCCATTTTACAGATGAGGAACAGAAGCGGGGAATGACTTACCCAAGGTCACATAGCTAGAAGATTACAGAGCCAGGATGGAGATATGGGTAAATGAAGCCAGGGTGCTCCTTGGCAGAACCCTCAGAAAGACACCCATGATTTCCATGACCTGCCCACATCATCACGGCAAGTTGGGTGGGAGGGGTGGGTGGCCTCCACCGAGAGCCCATGGTTATTTAGCTGAGTAATGCTGGGGAGGCAGGTCCATCTCTGGGCACCCAGCCAGGATGGGGGAGTCAGGATATATCACCCCTTATTATTAGCAACATTAGCTCCATGATTCACAAGCATTCACGGTATTGACACTAATGATGAGCACAGCAATGAGTCTGAGCCTCTGGACCGTGCTGGAATGTCCGCCCCCTCCCTCTGTGCGTGTCATCCTAGCCTTGCAAGGCCCGCTCAAGTCTGTCCCTCGCCCTGAGGCTTTAGGGACTCTCCCAGCCCCGGTGGCCTCCCCTGAACACCACACCCTCCCTGCTGTGACCACACACCTCCCCCACAGGCTTGCTGGTCCTGTCTCTCAGCACTGACCAGCAGGGGCTATGACCAGCAGGATCTAGGACGTAGGCCGGGCGTGTGGATGCACGCACCTGCACGTTTCACACACCTGGCCTGGCTGTTGGTTCAGGGGAGGCGAGCTGCAGGAGTCCTTCCAAGAACACAGAGCCCCGAGCCCTCTCCATGTGCTCAGCCTGTCATGGGTCCCGGGATGGTGAACATGTCTTGTTGATGCTGTCAGAGGTCATGGACACTTAGTTCAAGTATTGGGTTTGTGCTCCGGCTTTTTTTAACGGGTATAAAACATTAACTTGTTTGCACGGGGGCAGACAGGCGACTTTGTACTTGACTAGAAACAATATCACTCACTCAAAGATAAAATATTCATTCTCTAAATTATACAGCCTTGTTTTTTCCACTTTTTATTTTATTTCCCCATTTCTTCTAAGCAATGTAATAAGCTATAATAGGAGACCTCTCGCTCACTGTGGCCTGCACTCCTTCCCACGATAAACCCTCTACTGTGTGCCTTCTCCATGCCAGCCCGAGCTTGCGCCATGCACCAGGGGTGCAGAGGGGAACAGAAAGGACCTGGCCCCTTGCCCTGGTGCAGCTTACGCTCTGGTGTGTGGTCAGAGTCTGGATTATAGAGCTAGAAGACCTGGGTTCAAATTCCACATTGACCACCAACCAGCTGTGTGGCCTTGGGCAAATTACTTAACCTCTCTGGGCTTCCGTGTCCTCATCTGTAAAATGGATATAATAATAGTACCTCTCTCACAGAGTTGTGAATTTAAATGGGTCATGTGTATAAATTCCCGGAACAGTCTTGGTATGCAGGAGGGAGAAAATTTTCAAGAAGGATAAATTCTAGAGGGGCATCAGATGATGAACAAGCTGACACATGACCAAGCAAAATATGAATGATAGTAAAAAGTGCCCTAAAGGATGGCTCAGATGTGTTCACAGAGGGAGAAAGTGGGAGAGGGAGAGAGACAGCATTTTGATGGGGTTGGCCAGGGAGGGCAACTCCTAGGCCTTTGTACTTAAACTGCAGAAAGCAAAGGCGGCAGCTGTGGGAAGATCCTGCTAAGAGTGATCCTAGCAGCAGAAAGTCCCAAGCTCAAAGGCCGCCAGGCTGGACAGCTCCTTCCCGGCAGAGAAGAGAGTGGGAGGCCAGAGTGACCGGAACAGCGTCATCGTGCCGGAGAGCAAGACAAGGTGAGGTAAGAGAGGGCGGCCACCGCTAGAGGAGGCAGGGTAAGGAGTGGGATTTGGCTTCAAGTACAATGGCGAACCTTGGAGGGTTTTAAGCCTGGAAGCAATCGGATCTGATTTACATTTTAATAACATCTCTCTGGACACCCAGAGGAGCTGAGCGCAGGAGGGTGAGGAGGGGGCAGCCACGGAGACCAGCTGGGAGGCCGTGGCAGGCAGGCACAAGCTCGCGGTGGCTGGACCAGGAGTGCCAGGGACAGTGCAGAAAAGCAGCCAGACTCGGGATGTGTTGGGGGTAGAGCCGCCAGAACTTGTCCTTAGGCTGGACTCGGAAAATGAGAGGAAGAGAGGGTGACTCCTTTTCTTGTTGCTGTTGTTTGGGGCACCTGTTGGGAGACACACGTTTTATTTCTGACCCTGCCGGTCACTGTGTGACCTTGAGTTTGCCACCTAACCTCTCTGAGCCTCGCTTTCCTCATTTATAAATTAAGGATAATGCTATTTGGCCCCTTACGGGGTTTGCTGTGAGGATCAACCAAGATAAGACACAGAGATTTAAAAGCTCTGAACAGGGAAGGGGGAAGCGGGTTTGTGGGTGGCTGGCAGGGATGCTGGGCCAGATTCCGGTCCCGCCTGGGACCCTTGGTGACTCTGACCTTGGCCAAAAACCAGTTCCAGCTCCCTTGCCCATCAAATGAGGTTGAACAGAATGGCCCTCTTGCTTAGAGGATCCACCCCCACCTGGCCCCAAAGCAGGACTTCTACCCGGCCGGTGTGGGGGTGTGGCTGGGCTGGCGGGTGAAGCAGCCTGGTCCTTCCTTGTCACAACGCTCCCCTGCCTTGGAGCCAAGCTCCCCGGAGGGCCCAGGAGAGGGGACTCAGCCAAGGTCGCTGGCTGAGTCAATCAGAGGTGCAAAGTAGGTCTGAGCTGCCCCACCTCCGGGGCCTCTTGTCTGAAAAAGAGGGAGGGGCAGTCCTCAAACTGACAGAAGCCTGCTAGGCCCAGGGCTTCTGAACCAGGCGATCGGAGATGTCTGTGGCCGAGGGATCTGTCCTCCCTTACAGTTTACCAACAATCGGGAAAGGATGGAGGGTGGGGAGGACCTGCCATTTATCATACATGCCCCCCTCCGCCCGGTATCTCACAGGAAGGCACTCACTCATTCAATATTCTTTGTTTTCTCTCTTAGACGGGTGTCTAAACGGGATCAGAGAAGGTGAGTAATGGCCCGCAGTCCCACAGCAAAGCCAGGTTCGGTGCCAAGTCCATGCTTTGTCCACTGCCCTAGCAGAAGCCACACATACCTCCACTCAAAGACTAAGCTGGGCTTCTGTCCCTCTCTTGCCCCGGTGGGCTGGGGCCAGAGATAGAACACAGCCCGCAGATATTTACTGAAGGGATGCATAAAGGAGTGGCTGGAGTCCTTCCCAGTTCTGGGCTCCATCCCCTGACAGAGCCTTGACCTCGGCAAGGGAGCCCAAGGGCAGCCCAGTGCTTGGATTTATCTAACCTCTGTCCTCAGGCTAGCGAGTGCCCCTGCGCGTTATGAACCTGCTCCATTCCTGCCCGAGAAGCCGACATGAGGGATGTCATTTCATTAGGTCCTCCCCACCCCTCTGTTTGGACTCCAAAACATCTACATAAATTACAGCCCCGATATTTATTGCTTCTGTGCTGTGCTGGCAAGAGTGTGTGTGCACACCGTGTCCTGGTGGAGGGAAGGTCACCCCTAGGACTGTCTCCCTGCCTCCATCCCTGTCCCAGGGCCCGGGGCTGGCTGGGGCAGCGGGGAACGGGCGGCCTCCAGGGGCCTGGGAGGGGCAGGGGCACTCAGGCGCCGGGGAGAGAGGGAGGCCGGTTTTATGGCAGAGTTTTCACATGGTTGGTTTTGCCATTAACTTTGAATGCCTTTGTGGGTCTATAAAGTTCCCCACCGTGGTTTATAGGGAGTATGAATCGAGGAAATTGGTGGCAAAAACAGGCTAATGGGTGGCTTTCAGACACTCACACAAGGGTCAAGGAACAAAGGCTAAGAGGTGCCATCTAGCCACAAAAACCATTCCAGTGATAACTTAAAAGAAAAATTCACATAAATTCCTTTCTGTTTTGCCCCCCAAATTCTGCGTCTCCATGTACAGAAATGGCCGGCAGGATAATCACCGCAGAGTTAACAGCGGTCATCTCTGAGTACTGGGATTTTCTTTCTTGTGCCTTTCTAAATGCTCCAAATTATTTCCAGCTTTCGGGTATTACATTTGCAATTGAAAAAAAAAAAAAGGTGATTTTTAAAAGTCAGATAATCCAAAACAGCAGGAAGGAATGTTTTCTGAGGCACCCATGATTCATCCACGGTAATAGCCCATCACTGGGGCTCCTATTCGAGCATCTCATTTTGTTCTCAACATGATTCTCCAGCTTGAAAGGGGGAAACCGAGGCACAGAGAGTTCAAATGTCTTGCTTAAGGTCACGCAGAAAAAGGGCCCCAATAGGAGCGGTACCCTTCCCCTCCCATCATGGCCTTCGCCCCTTTCCGTCCAGGTTCCCTGCTGGCCCGGGGCGGTGTGTGGGGGGGTGCGGGTTATGGCAGGCAATCCTCAGATGGGGTGAGGGGCGTACACTTCAGAAGGTGCCGGGCATTCTTTTTGGGTGGTCTGAGGCGCTGTGTTTAGTGGAGTCTTCTCTGGTCAGACTCGTGACTCTGGTCACCTAGAACTACCCGGTGGTGTCTTCAGGGGTATGGCAGACTGGACCTAGATGCTTCCAGAAGGTTCCAGAGCCAGGCTAGGCTAGGTCAGGATTGAACAGAAGCAGAGACTGGATGTGGAGGGAAAGGTGGGTCACATGCCCTCAGGGATGGCGAGTGGCATCAAATCAGCTGCGAGAGTCACAGGCAGCTTGGGCAGGGAGGAAATGGGGAGCAGCCCCATGTCTGGCTAGGGCCTGGCTAGGGAGGGTATAGGAGGTGTGAGGGCCCTGGACTCCCTTGCACAGAGCACAGGAGGTGAGGCTTGTGAAGGACCTGAGGGCCTGGGTCCTCCCCACTCAATTCAGATTTCCTGACAGGCTGCCCTGCCCCAGGGAAGGGATGTGATACAGGCCCTGGGGTGGGGGACAGAGACCTCCCCAAATCCAGCCCTTCTTCCTCTGCATGTGTCTTCCCAGCAACAGCAATGTGAAAACATCATGGGCCAGAAACAGAATGGACACTCGCGTTGTTTTTAGAGTGAAATGTGATAAGGTGCAGAAGCGCTGACTCTACCTTCCAGGGGGTCCCACTCTGATGTGGGGAGACAGAGCCCCTGCCATCATAAGCCTTAGTCTGATGGGGGAGACACAGGCCTCCCTGGGGAGATCCCAAGTCTGATGGGGGAGACACAGCCCCTCCCTGGAGAGGTCCCACATCTGATGGGGGAGACACAGGCCTCCCTGGGGAGGTCCCAAGTCTGATGGGGGAGACACAGCCCCTCCCTGGAGAGGTCCCACATCTGATGGAGGAGACACAGGCCTCCCTAGGGAGGTCCCAAGTCTGATGGGAGAGACACAGCCCCTCCCTGGAGAGGTCTCACATCTGATGGGGGAGACACAGGCCTCCCTAGGGAGGTCCCAAGTCTGATGGGGGAGACACAGCCCCTCCCTGGAGAGGTCCCACATCTGATGGGGGAGAC